GGTGAAAGGGGTAGGGGATGGCATTCATGGGATATCTTGGAACGCTTGCGGACCGTTTTACAGAAAACGCGCCACAGGTTTTCCACGATCTACGTCAACGACGTAGTTTCGTGATCGCGTGATTCAGTGTGTTGGATTTAAACTCGTCTTAGACTGTAATACAGATAAATCACTCCTTCTCCTCTATCTGCGAAATAAACAAACGATGAAGGGATATTTTTCTGTAATACAGATCTAATTTAGAGTTACTGTTGATTCATACATATAAAATCGATTCTGCATAAGTTTTGCGTGAGAGGCATTAAATCTAAGTAAAACTTTATGAAGATTTTCTAGACAGCTCTTATTGTAATAAAAAGAAGTTCATAATTTTATTATTATTTAGAAACTAAAAAGACAAATTAAGAGTCAAACATTAAAAATTTCTTTAATCACATAGTAAAAAGATAAAATAAATTAATATAAATTAACATGAAAAACAAGACTAAATTCGAAGATATAAAAATATACATATAAATATGAAAAAACAAGAACAAACTTAATACAAAAATAAAAAAAGGCTTAATCATAAAATCTATAAACTTTACATGAAGAAGACTCAATCCACGAGTCGAAACATGTAAAGTTTATAGATTTTATGATTAAGCCTTTTTTTATTTTTGTATTAAGTTTGTTCTTGTTTTTTCATATTTATGTATATTTTTATATCTTCGAATTTAGTCTTGTTTTTCATGTTAATTTATATTAATTTATTTTATCTTTTTACTATGTGATTAAAGAAATTTTTAATGTTTGACTCTTAATTTGTCTTTTTAGTTTCTATTTATGTTTGAGAATAAGAGTCCTTTACTTACTTATTTATTATTATTTATTATTATTATATTTATTATTATTATTATTTATAAATATTATTTTAATAATACGTTACGTAATTTACGTTATTTTTTATTATTATTCATTTATTTGTTTGTGTATTGATACGCGTCGTGTCATCATTTGCCTTTTGTGCGTTTCTAGTGGGCGTTGTAACAGCAGCACTTCTCTCACTAATTGTGTATATTTACTCGTTTCTTGTCAGTCCCACTCAATTTTTTATTGGTATACAACAAACTTCCTATTTAAAGATAAATTTATTTTAAATAAAAAAATGTTTACAATTCATATTTGATAATTGTGTCGATTTCGTTTGTAGAACAGACCTTTCCTGAAATATGCGGAATGCTGCACTTAATATATCGTAGAGTTCAATTTCAATTTAATATTTAGCTCCCTTTCATCGCAATTCTCCGATTGTAAAATTATTTAACATTGAAAGCTAAAAAAATTTTGACGAATTAAAATTTCTGCGATCAGCAATCTGATAATGAGAACTTTATCATTTCTACACTGTATTTTTGAGTAAGCTTTAATTTCTCGCGAAATTTAATTTGTGCTCGTTTACTACAATTAATATCCACCATTACAAAGTCAGACTCCCGCCAGTCGAGGGGAAGTCACTGCGTCCGTCGTTGAAATTAAGATCGAAGCTTTTGTGATATTCTGTTTAGTGCATTCGTTTGGCGATTAAAAATTCAAGAGCAATGCAAGCTGCTGAATAAGAGCGTTTTCGCACGGTTCGGTTTAGCATCGGGTTGCGGTAGTCCAGCAGCCGTTCTCCCAACGACGCCGAAGGATCGCTGTCCTGTAAGATTTATTTGACGACACGAGGGTGGAAAACGAGGGCGAGGGAGGAAACGTCGGATTTCAAAGGGAGCGCGATCATTCATTCGGTGTAAGGTTGAAGAAGGGGAGAATTCGATCGGGAGGGAAAAAGGAACATTTTATTTTTTTAATCCTTACATTTTATTTTCTTATGACAAATGAAGTTACATTTTATTTTGTACATGTGAAAGATTACGAAGAACAACAAAACGAGTTCTCCGAACTCGGATCGTACATTTCGTGAGTTGCAGCATGAATAAAAAAGTGCTTTTTCATTCCATAAATAATTTATTAAATATTAACATTAAATTTGTTTAAATTAAAAATTACGTGTGTGATTTATTTAAAAATCTCAACGATATTGAGATAAAGATACGGAAGATAAATTTTAAATCATCAAATATTTGGCTAGTGGGAAATAAATTATTAAATCTCTATATGAAATATAATAGTAAATTAATAAAAAAAAATTAATTACGTTAAGAATTAAAAAAATGTAATGTATATATTACATCTTTCTGTATATAAAATATTTTCGTTTTAAAATTCTTGGATTAGTTAATATAATGGACTAATTAATATACATGTTCCAATATTTCATGATTGTATGATTGCGAGACCATAAAAATGGCACTGCCTTAGGACTGGCTTCTTTAAAAAATAATCTTGAATAAAAGGTATGTATACAGCGTATTAATAGCGATGCGTGCACATGTGTACACAATCGCGAGACGTATCACAATCATACGGAAGGTCGGCATATAGGCTAATTAAATTACGTATAGTAATTACAATTTCAGAGTCTCTTACGACTGACGCTGCGTTCGCGCTTTTAAAAAATACGATACCTCCTACGATATATGTACAAATCCCGCGTTCGCGATTACACGGTGGCAGAAATCAGCAGGTGCATTAAATAACACGCTTCTTACGTAGATAGGTATAGAGGCGTACATACACCGTAAGAATAACAATCGGCAGCGTTGAAGCATACTCGCGTACGACGTAATCACTTTAATTTCGCAGAAACTTACTATCATCTACCGCGTGACTGCATTGTGGTATATATAAACACTACTTGTGTATTTACGGTCCATAACTTGGACGGACGCGAACATCGCGTTCTCTGCGTACGAACGCTGTTCAATACCATTGTGCGAAAATATTCGAGTACACGAAATTTACCGAAGGACATGTATTGCTTGTCTAATGGCTTTTCATCGATTAAAAGGCGTTTCGTGTGCGATTAAAAAAAAAAAATCGCTCCATTAGCGACGTATTACTGTTCACCTTTAGGTTCACCTGAAGATGATAAAACGCGAGGCAATAGAATTATATTACGTAGACTGTAAATAATACTACTGTTAATATTGTAATACACGCTCGTTTCCGAGCACATCCATGAAGGCACTTTTTTTTTGTAATAATGTATAAATCTCACTGTGTTATGCTTCCCATCTCTCTCATTCGCGCGTAAATAAATTAAAAAAAGATTGAAGAATATTTTCTCACAGTTAAGATATATACATTTAAAAGCTACATATGGAATGTAAATATACAATTCTTATATCTATGAAAATATCGTTAAATTATATAATATTATACGAATAAATTAAAATTTTCTAAACGAGACTTATTTTCCAAATTATTCTCTGGACCTGTTTCTCGATCTTCTGACTCTATTCAATTTTCATTTTCGTTAAAAAAATTGTGCGTTACGCAACATAAATTAAAGCAACTGGATTTTCGCTACATTACAATATTGTACATATGCATAAAAAATTGCACACGACTTGCCCTCGTTTTTAGTTCTGTCTGCGTTCAAAGTGCATCAGAAGGTTAAAGCTACGCTTTCTTAAATAATGTAATCAACTGCGGGAGCGTAAGTGTAAATTACTGATAAGAACGAGCGGAGCATTTGAGACGTCGAGAGAAGTCGGCATCTGGGACGAGATTAAATATCTCGGGTGGACGATTACTAAATCATTTCCCTCGTTGGATTATCATCCTGTGCAATTAATTGACTCGATATCTGTAAGCCCCGCGAGTTTCTTACATTATGTATTCGGATCGGTGCAAGTCGGTAGGCAGTTCCGCGCAGATCATTCGCACTTGCATACCTAGCGCGAACGTTCCAACCCTAAGCCGTCACTTCGCACCTGCGAGAACCTCGCGCGATCGATGCGTCCGTGACTCTGATATGTGCAATTTCTTCTCCCTCCCCTCCCAGTGGAATGTAAAACGTTCGACTATTCCGCGTACTGAGCAATTTATTTGTTAATACGAAAATCAATCTCGTGCGTTCCAGCACTCGATCTTCGCTGCGAGAGAAACCACCAACTGAACTCGCACGCTACACATTCCCTGATCGAATCAATCGTCTCGGGGAAAAAAAAAAGGACGTTTTCCAAAATACTCATTTCTTAGGAAGTTGCGAAGAGCATGTGCATCGATACAATCGTACGAAGCCGCTCTGTCATTAACTTATTCTGTTATCGCTCCCTTATTAATAGCTGCTACGCAGCTGTTTGTTGCACGAACGAGCGCCTACTTACACCACAGCAAAATATTTTCATTCGTTATCCCCGCTTGTCCTCCTCTTTCATTCTTCAAATCAGCTGTTTCACGATATACCATTTCTCACAAGATTTCTCATTTCAGTTGATCTACATCTACTTCATTATCGTTTCATGTTCTTCCTCACTTTATATCTATGTTCATCCTTGTTATGTTTGTTATTACTTATTTTCATTACCCCCCTGTCTACTATAATTCTTCTGTACAGGATATATATTTTTACTCAGTGATACGTGTGCGTATGCACGCACATATACATATATGTTCATATTCTCTAATCTGCTAATATGAGGCACATGAAATCGAACTCGAGACCAAATGTTCCGAGTCGATCCACTTCATCGTGAAGTCACACTATGTTTATATTTTATATTGTATATGTGTATATATATATATATGTACAGCATTAAGCTAATTGTAAGTGTTACTCTATTAGTATTTTTTAACAAACTAATAGTTGTTTTTATGTTGATGTCACTTGTACTCTTATTACTAGTATTATTATTGTTTTGCTTAGTATATTTCTATTTTGTTTTTAGGTTTTATCTTCATGTGTATGTACAGATAAAATCTAAAATGTAATAATTTATTTGAATTCTAACGTCTCTAGAAGTTTAAAAACGGAATCATTGTCGCCCATTAGTATGCACCTTTCTACTACACTTCCGTTTCTCTTTACACGTTACAACTATATTGTACACACTGAAAAAAGTTTATATTATCATTACTTAAAAACAGATCAGGTACAGCGAAAATATTCGATTGATATTTTTGGAACGAACGAGTGGCTCGATCTTTTCCGAAACGAATGATTCGATCATCGCGATTCTTTGTGTTCCTCCGTCCTCCATCTCCATCCCTGAAGTCAACCCCTCGTCATACGAACGCGTTTATTTACTCCAAGTCGCGATGTCCTTCATCTCTCGGTCCTCCGAGATGTCGACGACGGTAGGACTGAACAGCTTCTTGGTGTTGTGCTTGCGCTGCGTGACGTAGTCTCCGATCTGGCCGTTCTCCAGGGGCTCGTTAAGGGCGTGCGTCGCAGCGTCGGCGGCATTGGCGGCGGTACGCTCGAGACAGAAGTGCCGGCACGATAATATCACGACGAATAGGCCGAATAGAAGCCCGAGGACGTCGCCGATGAGAACGTCCCACCAGTGATGCCGGTTGTCGCCCACTCTGGTTATCGAGCACGTAACGGCCCACATGCTCACCAGGCACTGCAGCCACGGTTTCAGAAACAACGTCCGACTCGGCATACGATTCTGTAGGTACCACTGTGCACGATGCGACAAAAGGCGAACACGTTTTTACAAAACGAAGAAACGGACCTCGCATTATGTATCTACGCGATCATTTCTATTTTCTAATTATTTTGACAGTATTATTATTTTTGATGGCGAGAAAAGAACGTGAGAAGGAACAGATGTATAATATACTTTAGCCAAGTTCTCAATCTTTCGTTTTTCTTTTCTTATTTCAAAATGAATTGCGTATTTTCGAGAATTTATTTCGCGACTCTCTCGTATTCATCTATCTGTCTCGCGGGTCCCGTGAAAATCGATATGCCGCCGGTAGATTTTTTTGCGGATTCTTTCCCGTCGCTTAGATACTGACCATCGATATTAAACCGGAAGTACTCGATGCTGATATCGTAGTTCTCTATATTGCCAACAGGCTGCTGAGCTTTACGGATAAACTAATGGGACGTTGTTCTCTTTCCCAATTTTGTTGTTATAAAAAATAGTTTGTCAAGTCTTTACGTTGTAAAAAAAGAATTTTCTTACCACCAAAAAGATGCTCGTGTAAACGGAGAGAGCAGCATGACCAGAGGGAAAAGACTTATTGGAATCGTTGAGGAACCAAGTGGAGACTTCGGTATTCGTGCACGTGTAAGAAATAAAGTATCTACAAAAAAAGTACAGAAACATCATTGCTTTTGTTATTTTTCAGTTAGATTAGGCAGATATTAGGATAAAATTTAAAGCAAACGTTTTGGAAAATTCTAAATAATGTTCTGAGCAAAATTCCAATGTAGTTTCCATTGTTATGATTTTACTATGTAATTAATAACATGGACGAAGCGATACTTTATTTTACCGCGAGAGTACATACAAGACTATAGATATAATCTAGCAGTAAAATGGAACGTATTAATAGAACTCTATATAACCGACCGTACGTATCTCTTTATCTTTCCCACAATTGATAAATACATTTCCTACGATTAACGACCTTTTTTGTATAAAAAAAATCTTTGATAAAAAAAAGGATATAAAAAGTCACGTGCCGATTTGTTTTGCGATAAGAGAGTATAAGTAGGAAGTCCGCTCTTTGTGTTTTCTCTCAGCATTGCTGAGAACTTGCGCAATCGTATGTAGGTGCTTGGCATGCGTATTTCTCTCGTTTCTTTATCGGAATCCATATAGTATACAGACCCACAAGCAAGCTATTCTCGTGCCGGGCTACCTACACCCTACACGTCGGCGACATAAAGGTCGACCGGATTGCGCTTAGGTGGCAAGCCAACCGGGACAAAGAAAGAAGAGGTCGGTGCTTACTCATTGGTGCAGTTGGCCGCCTCGCGCGGTTTGCACGTGTCGAGAAAATGCGGCCGCGGCTCGCCGATCAGGATTTTCATGGCTTCGCAGAGGAACGTAAGCGTCAAAATCCCCGCAGTGTACTGTCCGTACCAGCGCCAGATTAGTTTACTCCGGGTGCCGTAACATGACGCGTTCTCGTAACTATCGGCAGAATAGTAGATGTATTCCGCGATCCATATCTGAAACCGACCAAAAAAGACCCGTGCGTAATGTGACTCTCAACGCTTCCTGCTGCTCTCATTTCAAGCTGAATCGAGGAAAAAAAAGATTATGGATCTCTTTTTTTTCTCTAAATATTGAAGTACATTTTTTTTCATATTGCCTCTCGGACAGTAGAAATCGTTAAAATGTTTAGATACCCTTCGTTCTTTTTAGTTTTTTTTATCATTGAACATCTCACTTTATGAGCTTACTAAATTGTATATATCCATCGAAATATTCAGTTTTTAATGTAGAAATAAATCCATAATGTATGAGCGTTACTCATTTTAATATCTTAGAAAAAAATAAGAATCACATACATATGTATAGAATGATTCTTAAGTATTCTAAAAGATTTTAAGGGGTGATTCTTCACATTTCAGTTCAAGACGAAAACTTCATATTACATGTCCAAAACGGTTTAGTTTCAAAGATACAAAGTATTAAAAAATTGAAACAAATCTTTTTTTTTATAATTTTAAAAATTAGTTGTTTTAATGGAATTTTGTGTATGTTTAACGCTTCATCAAAATAACCTGAATGAGCCTGTCTATTCTTGTTATTTTAACCTGAATGATTTTCAAAATTTTTGAAAACACAAATGTTTTCCTTCAATTTTTATTTGTATCTTTGAAACTAATTGTGAGTTATTTCGGACACATGAAGTTATTATCTGAAATTATATAATGTGTGAAAAAAAATTTTTTAATCGTTTAGAAAACTTAAGAAATATCATCATACATATACAATCGTTGATCTTGTTAGAGATTGATGTACATTTCCTTACTTACATGATAATAAAAATGTAAATCATACTAATTGTAAATTTAACATCTGGCTTAAGATAACATTGCATAAAACACGTTCAGCTCAAAATTCAAAATATCTTTCGTATAATAAGCGACTTATACAAAACTTTAAAAACAATTTTTTTCATGAATTTAATATAAAATTAGAAGAAGCAAGAATACGTGAAAGAGGAATGCTTACCACTAGTAAAGGCATGGCGATACTGAAGCTTATGATTACACCTGCTGAGATCGTATCGCCCGTGAATTTGAACGAGATCTTCGGGTCATTGCAAACGAAACCGATCCGCTGGTACGGTTGCGCGAGAAATTCCAAGAGCGCTAAGAGTGTAATCACTAAAAAATACAATACACAATCGCAAATTAGACTAGATATAAGACATTTATTGATCTTCTTAAGAAAATCAATAAACAATTTCGCAATACAATATTTCCCAAAATATTTATACGGAAAGAACTACTGAAATATCTAAAAATTTAATTAATTATAGATCTGAAAATAATTTTGGACCATCAAAATAATTATATAGAAAACTCAAGCATGTTAAGCAACATTACAAAAAATTGTTGTGTTCTAGCATCAATTTAAATGTTTCATTAATAATATAATTTTTGTATTTTGATAGTCCAAAAAAATTATTTGCAGATCTGTATCTAACTAAATTTTTTAACATTTCAGCAAAAAAAATCGCTTTTTCCGTATAAAAATTGACTTACAATCTAATCTAATCACGAGAATGTTGATTATACATGTCATGTCAATAATATAAAATGTCATTCTGTATTATAATATAATATATTATAATGATAAACTATCATAAATTAAAGGCTGACATGTTTAGAGGAAACGCGTATGTGATCGACACGAGAAGGCAAGTGTAATTAGATTTGTAATAGAAAAGTGTAATGTTAAATTTTTCAAAAATCTAATCACGCAGTGATTATAAAATGCTTTTTAAATCACAGAACTTTTGTTAGAAATATTATTTCAATTTTAAAAAAGTGCTTCTAAAACCGAATTATATAACAGCTAAAAAATTATTTTTCATGTTTAGGTCCATCTGCTCTAAACTTATGCAAAGTTTATCATTTTTATTTTACACGTGCCGAACTTTTCTTATATCGCATTAAGAAATAACAATTTCCTTACATAATTTTAGGCTAAATTTTTAGATACTTCAGTAACCTGCACTTCTTTCCATACAAAAATTAATTTCTAATCTAATCTAATCACGAATAAGAATATTTGAAATCTTGTACATGTCGTATGAATAATAGAAAATGTGATTATATATTATAATATATTATAATAAATTATAATAAGCTTATAAATCCAAAGCTCACATATGTTTGCAGAAATAGCGTATATAATATATGCATTATTAAGAGATTACGAATTGCTTACGCAAATTTAAGCGCAAATTGAAGATAATTACGAAAAAATTAATTTAATTTAAGAAAATAAATTACGAAAGAAAAGAAATCTGAAATGTATCGCAAGCTTAAAACTTACGACATTTCGAATGAAATATTTCAGTGTATGTTTATATTCATGTATAATGACTGTGCTTCGATAATCTCTCTGATCAAAACAAATATATAGTGATTCTTCATAAATTAATCTAGGCCCGTATTTATATCACGGAAATAATTATATCTTAAAATTTACCCTAAATATGGTAATCGTGGGACAACATTATATTTCGAAGAATTTTTATGTAAATCTCTCACATTTATTAATAAAACTACAATAAAATATAAAATAAGTATGATTAATTTTACTGAAGTGCATGGTAAAAATCTTTAAATTTATTGTATTGTACCGTAATTACTATATTTTCAAGATAAATTTTAAGAAATCCTTCTCTCCGCGTGTAATCGTTTCTCAAACTCTATCTCAAGAGCGTATCAGGGGAGATACTCAGAATGGCATCGATATCGAAAATATCGATTAAAGCTATATTTTTTACCTGTTTAAAAGTAACCTTTCCAAAATCAAGTTACTGACAGGTTACAATATGACATAATATAAAAATGGAACAAGCTAATATATTTATAAAAAGAAAACAAGAATTTCACTACTTTTCACTACTTTTTTGAAGATTTATTAATACGTGTTACAAGATCTTGTTTCAAAACTCGATTTTATTGAATTGTAAAAAAGAGTATTCAAGTTATATCTCGAGACAAATTTTATTTGAGTTCCTCATTTGAGTCATAAACAACTCAAAATTAGTTTCAGTTGAATTTCTTAGCAGAAACACGACTATAAATACGGGCCTTAGTTTATGAATAATCACGGAATCTAGCACCTAATTTTTGACGAATTGCATAAAGTAAATAAGATTCTTGGAGCAACAAAACAATTGCGCAAACAAAGTCGACGTCATGCCGTTTCGAATTTCTCACTAAAAAGATTAGACTAAAGACATTTTCTTCATTTTTTTCATTTCGTTCATGTTGGTATGATACAAATTTTGCTTTCTTTGAAGTCCCTTAAATAAAAGAAGGAATTGAACATTATCTTAAATATGGCGGATAAATCCCTTAATTAAGACAAAATAAAATATTTATTTATCTATCAGCTCTATTTAATTCTATTTTATGCGAGATGTAAAATACAATGAAATATACCAAATATTTGGTCACTATCGAATTTACACTCTAAATTAGTGTATACTAAAAGCTATTACACATAAAATTAGCACATTAAACATAAAATCATATACAAAAATATTTTAAATACCCAATAATGACACGTTATTTAATAAAATATCTTTGTGTTATTTTATTATCAAAGTTAATTATACCTGCATTTCAAGCGACCGAAATACATGTATCTATCTCATTCCATCTTAAGCAGAAGCTAAAAATGGCATACTCAAAAATGACATAATCAAAAAATGTTTGAACGTTATCCAAAGTCTTACTTAGTTAAAAACCTCTACACGTCATTTCGAATTACATAAAAGATTAACAACATTTTTCAATATACCGACTATATTGAAAGTCTACAGTCCACGTTACGCATTACATAAAGATTGTGTATTTACGTAGCATCCTTAATTAATCTTGGATTTAATAATATCTGTAGTTATGAAAGTAACCAATCATAGCTATTCCTCTGAAGAATGGAATGACTGTGATTGGCTAGTTTCGTAACTAGCGGACACATAACATGTTATTAAACTCGATTAAGGGTGCTCTGTAAATGTAGTCGCAGATTATACTATAGTTTTTTAGCACTGTCAGAGCATTCCGAAATGCTCTTGAACCGATGTGATTAGAACGCAATTGGATAATTATAATCAGATAGCGAGCGTGACGAACATTTTATCTTTTATATACGCATCAGTTTCTACATTTTTTTCCTCGTACGCACCAACGATCAAGTGATTGCCACAAGTCCATTTAATCGGTCTATACGATGTTGTCTTCTGGTTCCCGTCAACTTTTCCACATCTCTCTCTTCTGTTCTCGTTTTCGACAGAAGGATTTTTCTTCGCGACGGAGCATCGTCTTTTGGGAAGCGGACAATCGTGCATCCCGTGAAAGAAGAAAATGTTCCGATAACACTGTGATATACTGGCTTGCTCGTCCAACACGCAACAAACGTTCTGAAGCGTTCCGACTCTTGACTACCACGAGGAACTCGCGTGACACGTAATTATTGCGCGATGTAGCGCGCATGCGCAGTCGAAACACGCGCGAGATTATATTTCAGTTACACACTCTATGAAAACTTTTTGTTCTTTGAAGTAGAAAAAACAGCGGGAAAAAATAAAAAATTAATCTGTTAGTCTAAAACACTTGTTTAAACTCGTCTGTAATTTATTATATTTATACGTATATATGCGATTAATTACGCATACAAAATGCAGAAGCTGCAATCTTACACAGTTGGAAATTTTGTTTTAAATTTAACACAATTTCTCGTGTTTCAAACGGTCCAATGAAACTTTTGTATTAATTTAACAAAAAATGACTATGTTAGAAAATAATACAAACATTATATAAAAATTAACACAAGAAATATAATTTTTTGATAAATTTGCAATTAAATTGTAGAAAAACATGTTTTTTTTTTAAATAAAATTAATGTTAAATTTAATATATGTTAATACATTCATTCATCTTTTATACATTCATTTCATTTGTTTCTTTATTCATTCTTTTTTTTTATTATTTATCTTGTGTTCACTTTTTTATTCGTTCACATTTATATTTTATAAAATTATATTATTTTATATTATTTGTTCACTTACTCATAAATTGTATTATTTTAACATTAAGACATAAATATCGATTTAACATAAAATATTGAAATAATATGATCACATTATGTTAAATTAATCTTCGTAGTGTTCAACAAAACGTTTTAACAAAGACCAATTTTAGCATAAATAAGAAATATTTTTTACTGTGTAATTTTGATAAAAAATTTAACAATTCTAAGAACAATTTAAATTCCGTATGTATTAACAACTTAAAATAAGGACTATTATAAATCGGCTCTGTAATTCGTACGCTATTATATAGTACAATAAACTATATTTAATGTTAAATATATGTAATTAAAAATAAATAAATATTAAAAAAACATGTTCAATGTTTAGTCATATGATAAAAACCGTTATATAAAAAGAGTATTTCATTATATAATAAAAAAACATTTTGTCTATATCTTTCTAACCTTCATCAGAGCTATACAAAATTTGAAAAAAAAATTGTTAATTTATTGAAACAAAGTTCAACTTGTTTATTGTGCGTATAACGAAATCAGTTTTTGGTATATATAATTAAATTGTTAATATAATTAAATTGTAAATCTCCTCGAATTTATGTATTATTAAATGTCATCAAGAAATTTGATTCCTATATTAGAATATCTACATAAATTATACACGGGATGAAACCAAATTTAATCAAATTTCAATATCTGGTCGTAAATATTAGATGCTCAGGAATATTGGTGCGATGCGTAACGTGTATGCGAATAACATTAATAATATACTCGTTTGATAAAGAACAATGGTTTGATCAATTATATATAATGATTCTATAGATAAATTATATAATATGTACGTCAGTGCATCTGTAATTTTGTTAAATCATTGATGGCATATTTATTGATTTACTGTTCACATTTGTTGCCACTGTAAAATTTGTAAATAGGAAAAAAATTATGTCTATAATGTATATTAAAATATCTCTTTATAACTCAAAAACTTCCAAAAAGCAAAGTGTAGATGTCTTTATCACAATTATGATTCAGGTAGGAAATTGTCGTTAAAAAATACACAAGGAAGTGACATCAGATTACTCATTCTGACGTT